CCCCAAAACCCCAAAACCCCAAAACCCCTTCAGTAAGTATCTAAAAGATTAAAAAAGAAAAATAAACTTTTAAAATGCTTTAATATGGTCTAATCTTATAAATGATTGAGGATTATTATTTTAATGGCAAAATTATAACATCAAAAGACATTTGACTCATTCCTAATAGCAAAAAACGTTCTTTATGAAACCATCATAGCTAAGGTAGAGAAACACTTCTATGAAAAGTACTTGGAAACCAAGAAGGAATCTTATGCTACTATCAAGACTATACTTGAGTCTATCAAAACAGTAGAGGTAAGTTTTAGGTTACAGCTTAACTTGTATTATTAAATTTATTTTCAATGGTTTCATTTGCAGATTAATAAGTTTTTTAGTTTGCTAATTTACCAAAGGATGACGGAGAAGTTACATATAAAAATAAAAACATTGCTCACGAGTGGCAAGCAGAATTCGAGCCAGTATGATTAGCTTTCATAAATAAATCAGGTTATTATAGAGAGAACCTGGATTAGATACTTCAGCAATGGAAGAATTAAAAGTTAAATAAGGTTTCAGAATTGCAGATACAACATTTGAGGGCTAGAATATTAATGCTAACTTCAGCTTCGGAGCAGGTTATGAGCAAAAAAGGACAATGACTATAAGGACATCCTACCTAAGAGACTAGAAAAAGTCTACCAAGATTATCAAGAGTGCTATTGCAGACTACGCTAAGCATCTTATTCCAATAGAGAAAAAAAGGAATGAAGAAGATGATGAAATAGAACTTAAAGTTGGTAAACTCAGACAGCAAATTGAAATTGACGAGAAGTAGCGACAAGAAGTAAGTATAAATTACAATGAATATTTATCGATATACATAGTTGATTCAAAAGAAGAAAAATCTGAAGGACTAACTTAGAGGGGGAAACATAAACGGTCTATCTTCAAATCTAAATGCATCTCCATCAAAGACATTGGGTGATGACTAAGGTCTATTTAACTTGCTCTAGAAAGATAAATAATCTGTGACATTTGACTATAATGGGAATTTGATCCTTGTTAAGAACCCTAAACTCCAAAATAGAATGAAATTTGAAACTTCTTTCTAAATCCAGCAGGAAGCAAGCAGCATTAATCAAGTTTCAAGAGGGAAGATTAGTGAGAGTCATGACGAGAGTAACGATGGGGACTTAGATCCAGATCAGGGAATGTTTAATAAGAAAGCTTACTACGGCCAAATCATATAAGCTCTATATTCTCAACCACATAAAATGATAGATCTCAAGCCAGGTGTGCTTCTTAATGAAGGGGGAAAGCAATACGGAGGTTAGATTCCATACTCTAAAGAGAATAGGATTGATCTTGAAACCTATAAAAAGAGCAGAGAGAGAACATCTGGTAATCCCTCTGATAAAACTGCTGTGAATAGGATTAAAGTTGGCAGTAATAATAATAACATGCCTTAGCAGGACTCTTAAAGCCAGAGACAGCATTTATAAAATGAGCTAATGAAGTCAAATGGAATGCAATCAACTTCGCTTGCTTACCAGAGTGATATGAATGGGATGATGAATTCATTCTAGAATAATACTTCGATAAACAATTAATAGATATCTGCCTTCCTAAATAACAGTTCAACTATGATCAATCGAGATACAAGGTCTCATCTAACTCAGAAGAAAAATAAGAGTCAATTTATGAAGCACAGAACACCAAACAGATTAAACAAGATCAAACTGAATTCGACCTTCATAAGAGAAGAAGCTTTGCATCAGAGCAAACTGAATGCCTCTGTATTTGAAGAATACAATGATGTGAATAAGAACAACATATCAACTTTTTCTTAAGAAGCTTCGATTAATCACCAAATGAGCACTAAAAATGTGATATAGAACATTTTACAATCTGCTAAAGAGGAGTCAAGCGCTCATACGACTCTCTCAGCCAACCCTCAAAATCAATCAGTCTTGGTTTCTCAATCTTAATCTTTCCTGCCTGATTCCAGATCAATCCTAAGCTCTATCGCCTCAAAGAACATTAAGCTGACCAAGCTAGATAATTCTATGGTCAAACTGCCCCATATTAGTTCTTAGCAAATGAGTAGCTAGATGCTCAATCAATCAAACTAACAGCTGTAAGCGATGTAATAGCACTAGCAACAAAATTCGTAGATGATGCAAACTGCATTCTCTCAGAGAAATATGATGAACATCAAGTCTACGATAAAGATATTTAGGAATGAGGAAGAAAGGCAAAATGAGATGAATAACATTCAGAATTTCCAAGAAATGCATAGCATTAACAAATCTAGGGCTGGCAAGAAAAGCCAATATACAATAAGCAAACACTCATAAAGTAAATATGAATTTTGAATGGAATTCCTCTTCTTTTATTATAGATTTATTTTTACAAGAATCAAGAAAATCAATCAAATCCCACACGGGGTTTTGGGGTTTTGGGGTTTTGGGG